TATATATAGTTTTAATGAATGTATTATTATTATAACAATAAACAATATATTATTATTATTATTATATTAAAGTAAACCTTTAATTTATTATTATTATTATGATTATTATGATGAGATATTATATCATATAAAATATAATAATAATACTTGTATTTGTTGTAATGAGTGGCAAAATTCCAAAAGCAGTACTGTTTTTGTTCAGTAAGGTTGGGGAGCGGGTGTCTCCTGCAAATGTCTAAAGGAAATATTGATTGAATCAGACCACAATCCTAAAAGAAACTGTGCTGTGTAAATAACATCCACGAACCTGTGATGGTGTTGTAATGATACGAGGCGTGAGTGAAAGCCTGCAGAAGATATGCCTTGTTTTTAAACGTGTATTTTATCTTCTTCTCAAAGTTCTTATTCTTTTGAGCCGCATCTTCAAAAAAAAAAAAAAAAAAAAAACGTTTTCATGAGTTATTGGTTAGAATCAAATATACTGACCCAACTGCTGTAATGTTGTAATAAGTATTACTTTGAACAACAAAAATGAAGACAAACTGAAAAAAAAAGGTTGTTATACAATTCATCGATACTTCATCTCACACTATGAGTTGCGTGGCATACCAGTAAATTTTTTTTTGTAAATTTTATGCAATATATTTTATGTGAGTAACTCAAAACAACTGTGGAAATCAACATGTTAACTACAAAAATTTATGAGATAAAGCATAATATTTTTTATATAATTTAATATAATAATCATTATTATATTAAATAATATAATAAGCTATATTGTAAAACTTTTTGTTAAATAGCCACTTATTACATAAATGTGTTGTAGTAGTCATAGTAGTAGTAATAATAATAAGAGTAATAATAATAATAATAACTTAAGCAATACTAGCAAAGATGAGAATAATAATGGTAGTAGTAGTAGTAATAATAGCAATATAGCAATGAAACTAGAAAATGTAGATCATATAAATAAAACGTAACAATTCTTTAGAGTAGCATGCATGAGGAGATCTGATTGGTGGAAGTAAACCTTTAATTTATTATTATTATTATGATTATTATGATGAGATATTATATCATATAAAATATAATAATAATACTTGTATTTGTTGTAATGAGTGGCAAAATTCCAAAAGCAGTACTGTTTTTGTTCAGTAAGGTTGGGGAGCGGGTGTCTCCTGCAAATGTCTAAAGGAAATATTGATTGAATCAGACCACAATCCTAAAAGAAACTGTGCTGTGTAAATAACATCCACGAACCTGTGATGGTGTTGTAATGATACGAGGCGTGAGTGAAAGCCTGCAGAAGATATGCCTTGTTTTTAAACGTGTATTTTATCTTCTTCTCAAAGTTCTCGAAGCCAGAGATGAGGTGGTTGAGGGTCCGCTCAGCATCCGGGTGGTCAAACATGCAGCGCGGAGGGATCTTCAGCCAGCCGTACTGCAGCTTGGCCGACCCCCCTGAACTCTGCTTCTCTGCCGGGAGCACCTTCAGGCCGAGGGAACACAGGAACAGCTGGGCTGCCCTCTCCCCACAGCTGGTGAGGTAGCACCCCATCAGAGCCTCCACACAGTCAGCTATGCTCTTATCGGCGATGCACTGCTCAGTGTGAAGGTCGTAGGAGATGGACTGTTTCCCAATATCCGTGCCACAGTTTTCCTCGGAGGGGTTCCAGAAGCCCACCACGAAGTCATCCTCCTCGCCAGCTTTGCTGGGGTCAAGGTAGCACATGGCGTCCCAGGAACTGTAATCGAACTCGTCAGTGCCGCCGTCTGGGGAAAAGTGGGAGTTGTGAGCTTTTTTGGGGGCTTTCCATTCGTAGCCAGGCTCGGCCGGCTGGAGGGAGATCTTCTTCCCGAAGGCACCGGAGCCAATCAGCATGTTATCGATGAATCTGATGTGCTCATAGTAGTACTCCAGTTCATCTTCCACGTTGACCTCTTCTTTAGACGGCTCGACCTCCACATCCTCTGCCTCATCGTCATCATCCTCATCATCACTGGCTTTTCCATTGGCCAAATCTTTATTCTGAGAAACAAAAACAGATTTCCCAATGTCTTACAGCTCAAACAAAACAAAACAAACAACAACACGAAAGGAACGTTGAGTCCAAGAGCCCTGTAAAGCCAAGGCTCAGTCTCTACAACAAATTTGCAAAGATTACAATTGAAATGTCTTTTAGTTCAACCACAGTATTATGTTTGCTCAGGAGAGCTCAACAGAGCCGAGACTTCCAGTCCAAGTCAATGACTCATCCAATCTAATGTGATTCAAAAGCCGAAATGTGCCCTGAAAATCTTTTTTTAATCATTAATATGCCATAACACTGACCATATGAGAAAACGTCTATTGCATATTCATTAAAATATTAATACACTTGACACCTTATACTGTAATAATACATGGAAGTGACACTTAAAATTACAGTACCCAAGGCAAATTTAGTACATTCATACCATACATATACACCCCGAACCACATAGAGCGTCCCAAAACATACAGTCAGTCTCTGTCAAAACCATGGAGAGGGCTGGTAGAAACCAGAAGCAGAGTTCTTTCCATTTTTCGTACTTGGTTCTGTGCACATGTCCTAATACATTACATATGCTTAAACATAGATGGAAAACTGTGGCTTCTACTTAATATTTCATAGATTTAATTTTAAATAATCGTGGCACCTCTTCCTGACCTGACATGTTTCTTTGAATTGTGCCTTGGGTTAAGGCCTGCAGATATCTTGAATTTCAATTCGTATATTTACGCATTGTGATAAGATTTTAACAATATATAATGTTGCATTTCCCAAATTACAGAATAAAAGTTGCTTTTGTTTTGATAATGTGAAAAACATTAGGGGGCTGGAAAGATTTTGTAATGTTTTTAAAAAAGTCACCAAAACGGAAATTATTTGATCAAAAATATACTAAAAACTGTAATATTGTGAAATATTATTACTATTTAAAACAGCTGTTTAATATTTCAAATTTTAGCAGCCACTACTCCAGTCTTCGGTGTCACATAATCCTTAAGAAATCATTCTAATACGTTGATTTGAAGTCAAGAAAAAATGTCTTATGATTATCAATGATGAAAACCTTTGTGCTGCTTAATATTTCTGTAGAAACCATGACACCTTGTTTTATTTATTTGAAACAGAAATCTTTTGTAACATTATAAATGTCTTAATTGTCAATTTTGATCAACTTAATCTACTAAATTAATATATTTAAAAAAAATTACTGACCAAACTTTTGAAATGGCAGTGTATCTTCAATTTATATAGTTGAAAAAATACAAATATTAGCCTACTAAAATTTTTAAATGTCCTTCCCAAAATATGAAGCATACATTCATACATTTACATTAGTTTTAAAGTCTTCATATTTGCAAATGGTTTGAATGAGAGAGAATGATTTGGTTTGTTGTATATTATCATTGCATTATTATTAACGCTTTTACTTTACAAACATATACAATTTGCTCAAGGGTCATTTCCTAACTCCACAGAAATTTCAGTAGGTTGGCATTATTATATCTAATGTAAATTTGTTAAGTTGCTACCTTTTTACTTTTTCATCCATTTCTTGTATTCAGAGCCTTAGAAGTAATTGCCCTGGAGACAACAAGTGACAACAACTGTGGAAGATTTGTTGGCATTAGCTTAAAACCAAAGGTGCAATCAAACCAAAGGAGTGCCATGCTGAACTGACTATTTCTAATCTTTTCGATGTAAAATAAACAACTGCATAAATTCTGTCCTCCATTCTGAAACCCAGTTTCACCTACAAAGGATGAACCTGCCCCCTATTGGCAATGACAGAAAACAACTGCAGCTCAACGCTGCCAAGATGTTCCTCAGCTCAAGGCACAGGGCCATGTAAACAGACTTGTAATTGTGCATGAAGATGCATGTTGATATTGGGTTAAGCTTGACTTGAGCTATCTGGTAAACAAACGGAGTCGATCTCTGACTCATACCTCATCTGAGTCCCACTTGTCTGTGCTGCTTTTGTCCTGATTCACAACATAGCCGGGGGGAAGCCAGTTTACTGGGGGATCAAATATGGATACCACCATTCGACTGGGAAGGCCCTTTTTCTTCCCCAGGCGATAAAGGTTACAGTTGCTGACCTGGAGATATCGGAGCAAAAGAAGTTTGTTTTTCATATAACACGTGAAGTATAAATAAATTAAGCAGTATTCAAATAAATATGAGGCACATCTGTTGCCAAAACCTTTATAAATTGGTAACAGTAATTTGAATGAAATTATAATCTCCTCAATAAAACACAAGTAACTGCAAAGCCATGTCTGACGAAAACCGAAAACAGTTCAATATGCAAGTCTTACAAATTCATCAGACTTTAAACGGTGAATATTCTATTAGTACAAAGCAAAGGGAAATTATTTTACAAGAACGAACTTAAATGTAACTATCAAGTTTAAAAAAAGTAAACATACATAGTACAACTAAGGCTGACAATATCTACAAAAAAAAAAAATCAGCTCCTGGTGCTAAATTTATTTTGTAATGTAAAAATAAATATATAATAATAATAACAACAACAACAACATTGCGTTTAATAGCATTACATATATTAATATTTAATAATACTATTTATTAATACATAAGAATACTGTTTAGTATTACTCATATTTAAGTATATTAAAATTAAACTTTTTAAAAATTAAAAATAAATTATTATTTAAGATATATTATTTAAATGTAATTTCCTACACTGAAAAAAGTAGGAATGGAAAAATTTTTTACTAAAATTTTACAAACAATTACAAAGAAACAGCGAGTAACACATTGAGTTAAGCATGAAATTTTGAAGTAGAAAAACTGAAATTGTACTTTCTTGTAAAACACACTTCAGTAATCTGTTTTAATCTTTAGCTTTATCTTTTTTTACAGTGTATTAACCCTTGTATGGTGTTCGGGTCTGTGGGACCCTCTTTCATTTTTTTATCAAAAGAAAAATGATATGATTAATTATTTTTTCAAACTCCGACTCATTGGCCTTGGCTCATTTTCTGTGAAGAACATATTTCAGAACAAATTTTCAATGACCACACTGTACAAAAATCCAACAATTGTAAAAGGGCAAATATTAACCATATATGCTGTTTATATTGCTTGTAATCGGGATGAAGTAAACATCTGTTGAGTATTTTAGCAAAATATTTTTGATTGTGTTGAATTAAAAACCCAAAAATCCACCAGACCCACGAACGAACAATGACTGAAAAATATGAACACCACACAAGGCTTAATATTTATTAATATTTAAGAATAGTGTGTACTACTAAGAATAATATTTAAGCATATTTAAACTTTATGTAAAATAAAGAAACTATTAAAATAGTGAATATTTTTAAAAATTAAGGAAAAGTATAACTTGATTTGCAAATATATAAGATTAGTAAAAAAAAATCCCATGTAAAACTTGCTGTCACAATACAACAATACTATCAGTGGCTCACAATGCATTATTATGTGGTAACTAAGGTGTTAAGAGTTTTTTTGCTTTGCAGTTACACTAATAATCTTAGTCATTGTGGCTGAATCATACCTTCTTGCTCCTCATGTATGACAGCCTGCCCTCGTGGGCGTCAGGGTAAGTGCAGAACAGGTAGGTGGTGATTGCGTGTTTCAGGAAAGAGTCGCCCAACATCTCCAACCTCTCCAGATTGAAGCCATCACTGGCGTTGGAGAGGGTCAGGGCCTGCAAGATGAGGCCGGGGTTGGGGCCCAAGGTTTTCGGAGAATCCCAGGCTGGACCTGTGCAGGCTAATGTAGATGTCACGTCAGAGACCTCTGATGACACTTCTGAAGGTGCTGTGGTGCTGGTTGCCATCTCTGGTTTGGGGCAACAGTTTGAGGTAGGTTTTTTCACATGTCCGTCGCAGAGATCCGAGTTCCTGCCTGGGGTACATTCATCGCTGGGCTGGGGCTGTGGCTCGCCGGCTAGAGAGGGCCTCACAGGAACTGAGGTAGTGGTTTGTGTTGATAGGTCACTCTCCAGAGGGCCCAGCTGAGAGCATTGGCAAATGTCACGTCTGTGTGGAAGGTTGTCGTTGTCGCTCCGAGTGCCGTTGAGGTTTCGGGAACAGACACAGTCACTCTTGTCTTTGTTCGGCGTCTGGAGATCAGTCACAGGGAGCACAGGGTGGGTTTCTAGCTTTTCATCTGGTGTGTTGCAGTTCTCACAGGGGAGAGCGCCCTCTGGAGGCTGGGAGGCCTCCGTACTGCAGCCCTCCTGGGCAGTGTGGTCTGAATCGGAGCTTGTGCCGTGTTTACAGTGATCGTCGTCTTCCATACATGCACTGGGGCAGGAAATGAAAGACTTGCTATCGATGGATTTCTTCCATCCGAAATCCAAATTTGGATACCTGGGGTTAATATTCAATAAGATTAGGACTCAAATGGGAGCGCTTCCTAAAATGCTGTCACTGCTGAAGCCAGCTGCTTTCTAAGGTCTAAGGTCACTCTAACTGAGATGTTACCCCACAAATGAATTAGAACGCTTTATAAAGGCAGTAACTCTCCGTGCCACACATATGACACGAGTTACAAATGAATCCAATATAGTTTGGCATTAGCATGTTGCTAAGCTAACTATACAACACTTTAATAAAAATAAAGTACACTGCACATGCCAATGTTATCATTTTGAAATTAGAATTAGTGGTTGATCAGTAAAGATTTTTTGATGGCCAATGACAAAGCAGGTGCAATGGGGGGGCGTATATATATATATATATATATATATATATATATATGGTACAAAATTATAAATAATTTGAAAATGAATCAATGTGAAAAAAAAATTGGAAATTGAAAAAATAAACCTGTAAAATAAATAAATTAAAAAAATGTATACTGCACTCACACACTGGAATTCTCAACACTGTCAAAATAAAAGTCCTGCATCGTAAACGGTGCCAAAATAAAGGCCACTTCCAACATTTATCGGCCAAGCAGAAACAATTTATCGGCCAATAATTTTGTCTTTGGCAATATATTGTTCAACCACTAATTAGAATCAACCATTTTTAACAATGCTTGTTAACAAATACAGAATGAAACGCTTTTCTGCCACTTTGCTCACCATTTGTTTAAAATGAGCTTGATGCAGTGCATTATTGAGAAGCATATTTTCTTATGATGATGAATTTTGTCAAAACTATGTATAATATATTTTAGAGTAGGCGTACTCTTGCCTTACAATGCTGTCTATGGAGAGAGCTCACTAGAGTTTGGAAAAGAGCGAATGAGTGTTATGCATATGATTTGTGGATTTTTTTTAACTGACCTGAAATCAGGAGGCAGGGTCTGAGCCCCTACACCAGCGTCAATGGCTGTCTGAGACCGCAACTCTTCGGCCGTCAGAAGGCAGTGAAGTCTGTAGAGAATGCTGGGAAGGCAGACGGCTTTCCTCCACAAAGAGGCTGGGATGGGGTGAATGGCACAGAGCTCCGGAACTAAAATCTAAGCAGATGGAACAGAAATACAACCAAAAACTGTTATATGATGCGAGTCAAACCTCTGTTCATCCTTTACTGCTCTCAGTGGGAGGAAATACTCAAAACAAGATGGTGTGATTAGACTTAATTCAGGTATGATGACTTATAATTATCACCGCAAATTCTTTCCATCAGTTAATACCTGTTTGTTTTGTAGGCTTTCCCACTTGGCCTTTCTCTTCTCCGCACTACTGAGAGGAAGGGCTTTCCCCTTTTGATTAAGGTGCCGGGGAGTTAAAAGATTCAATCTACAGGAAAAGACCACCATGGACATATAATGAATTTCTCAGGAAGAAAAAAAGAGCACATACCAGAATGTCTTTTTTTTTTCCTACCTTGAAGATGTGTGGTCCACATCCAGTAGGGGCTGGTTAACATTAGACAGGTCCAGGTTGTACTTGGTTTTGTAGTACTCAGCGAAAGTCTCGTACTCTGGAGAGGGGAATTTACTGAGTGGGGTGAGGTCTGTGTAAACGTCAGCCACATAGAACCGATGTGGCTGGTCAAAATTACGATACCTGAGAGGGAGGAACGAGACAGAGGGGTAGAGTTCAACTTTAGTGAAAACAAAAGCCCAGTATACAGTAAGTCATCAATGAAAGCTTAATTGCAAGTACAATAAGACTTAAAGATCACTTTAAGTTACTTTTGTACCTTGGAATGATGACAGCATCCTGGTAGTCCTCCAATTTGAAAATGAATGGGTTTTTCTTGGTGTACTGAGTATTTGGAATGCCAATACGTGCTTCAGACTTTTCAATATCCTCCATGAACTTGAAATCCAGGTCCAACGTATTGGAATCCTCAACTAAACAGAGCAGAAGTTATAGGACTAGAGCTGCAACAAGTGGTCAACTAATAAAGATTTTATAGCCAGTAGAGAGCAGTGTGGCCGATGGCAGATATAAAGCGGACATATGTGTTAATGTGTGTGTATATATATATATATATATATATA